TGTGTGTTGTGAAATTCCCATCATGCCTGTTGGGCGGGATCGGATGGGATTAGGGAATGCTGAATCATGCAGAGGCTGCTCACTCAAACTCCCTCTGAGGGGATCCTTCCTTTTTTTTTAAAAAAAGGGACAGAAATCCTGCCTGAATGTGGAACAGAGCGGCTTAAAGTGAGAGCGTTTCCTTCCTGTTGCAGAACAGGAAATAACGTTTAACCCCAGAGAAAACACCTGGGTTTAATCCGTCTGTTGGGCCGGGTTTTTTTCCTCGTGCGTCGGGGTTTTGAGCACTTGGCGAGCGTTCGTTCCGCCGCTGAGCTCATCTGGAGGCAGCAGACGGAGTGACTCTGCAAAAACGCCCTCACTATTAGCATCACATGACACGTCTCCTCCAGAACCGGAGTAAAAGTCCTGCTCATTTCTTTGTTTTTATGTCAACAAAAGCCGAAATAAACTGGAGCTTTTTTGTCATCTGGGATTAATATTGCTCCACTCTGTCTATACTGTGCCTCCGTCTGGAGTTGGCTTCAGACTTTTGTCCATTTCTGTTTGCTCAAAGGCTCCAGAACAAACAAAGCTCATCTTTTGGATTTGATTTGGGGAGAAAAATCTACCAAAGCATGAAGTGAGGACAGGCAGCCTCTGGGTGGTCCAGACTCCCTTCTCCTCCTGGTTCTGTCCACTCAGGCTGCAGGTTTTTCTCAGTCTGGATAAAGAAAATTAAGAAAATCCTTTTTGTTGGCGTGAAATATAAGAACAAAGCTGAGGGGAGGTATTTTAAACCTCACCAAGAATCTGATCTTCCTGAAAATTTAACAGAGAAATTCTTGGTTTTATTCAGTTTTAGACATATTTTTACCCTCAGAGCTGAAAAATTTTACATGTGAAGGCGGTGATTTCACCTCCATAAAGTGGCCTCAGTGGCCTCTTTTTCTGTTGTTCTCCATTTGGAATAATCACCCCAAAGAGGTCCACTCTTTATCTTTTACAGGCCTCCTTCATTAGCTGTAGACTATTCAGGAAAAGAGGTTTTTATTTCCCTTCCTCCTGTCCTTTAGCAGATGTTGGTGTGTGTTTTGTAGAGCAACCAGTTCGGCGTGTTCTGCAAAAACAACACGGGAAAGCTGCAGAAATGCAAGTAATCCCTTTTTCAAACGCTCCACTTATCGTGCACGGCTCGGCTAACGTGCACGGCGAGCCCCGCCCACGGCTCTGACCGGCTGCTGTTCTCCGGAGCTATTTGGAAAAATTATTTAGTTTCTGTAGATGTTCAGACTCAAATCTGGAGTGTGGCAACAGTTGTAATACTTCACCCCCCTTTTCTATCCTGCTTTAACGTCTGGCTGCTTCAGAAAGCAGCTTAAAGATCGAAGAAAATGCTGGGATTTGAGGTCTAAGTTGAATCTTATTTGAGGAACTCAGAAAATGTAAAGCTAGCTCCTCCTCCTGAACAGGTTTGTGTGGACAGGATGGTTCAAAACAAGATGGAGATGCTCAGAGAGCAGCATGTGGACCGGCCGTGTTTTTATTTGTGGCTTCATTTCTTCTCCAAAGATTTTCAAACCACATACAAGGCAACAGAGCTAATTTCTTCTTAGGAAACATTGCAGAATCCAAAGACTCTGACACGGGTTAGTCCTCATTTTCCAACCTCCTTCTTGACTAAACTCAATCCCCAGTATAATATTTGTACAACTAAACATTGTTTCATGAGTTAATTTGGGTTATAAGTTTATATATAAGTGATTTCTTTGCTAATGTCCGGAAATTCTTATTTTTTCAGCTTCCACTGACTCTGGTTTTGTTATTTGGCTACATCCTTCTTGGATGTTTTCCCCGTTTGAGACGTGCTCGCTGGTCCAGACGGGTCTGGCAGACCTGCACAGGAAACAGAAACAGGGCGGCCGGTTTCTGGAGGTGGTCAAAAATGTGGGCGTTACCACTCATCACCGGCACTATTTTAGCATCTCCATGGGAGAGGCTCATTTTTAAACCTTTGAAACCTGAATTTTAGGCCATCAACAGCTTCCAGAGGATGATTTTAACGGAGGCCTCAGGTGGAATATCCCCTCTCTGTTAACTGAAATGAACCTAATGTGAGATCAGTCCTCTGAGAAGCAGCTGGATTTCTCTGGATTTCTGCTTTTGCTTGGACTCTATGTTGTAAGAGACGTCTGACTGAAAGACACATGACACAAGGGAAGCTCCTTCTCCTTGATGGGGGGGGGGCTGAGTCATGTTGCTGTTGAAACTGGGAGGCCAAAGGTCCCCAAACAGGACATGAGAGTAATCTCTACTATGCTCACTATCGTAAACAGACACTCAGTTACTGATGGATGCCCCACTTCCCTTATCTGACCACGTCTCTTTTTACGTCTCTGTGAAATTCCCTCGAATCACATTGTAAACTTGTGTTGATAGTTAAGAGTTTTTATCTTGTTCTGAGAGGAGATAAGGCCGGCCGTCTGATGTAACGGCTCAGCTGCCTTCGCGGTATCTCCTTTAACGACTAATTTATCAGGCTTATCGCCCCTCAGGAGCAGCCGGGAGGACCTTTGGTTTAGATCCTGAACTGGTTTGGAAATGTGTTTTCTCCTCGTCGTATTGCTTCATATTAACTTCTCAAACCCTCTTCAAGGAACCTTTTTTGAAAGAATAATATTGTGAACTATTACTTTATTATTATGACTTTATTAGTCCTGATTGGAAACAAAACAACTCTTATGGAAACCAACAACTTGAGGAGTCATTCTGCTTGAATTGCTTTCTCCTTTTTACTGTTACATATTTAAATCCTGCAAATGATGCCGAAAAAATGTAAAGAAATGGATGAAACTCCTGGGAACTTCCTGGAAGTTCAGTTCGGGATCTGCTGGTTCAGCACATTTTAATGACATGGATCTTTAGGACTCACAGTAAATTCAGCAGTGTCGAATCTACGGAGGCCCGGTGTGACCAAATCTCACATTTAGACGTGCAAAAGCTCAGAAGACACACAGGAAAACTGGTTTTAAAACTGGATCCTGGGGTTTTAGAACTCTATATCTGCGCTTTCTTAAGAGGGGGGATAAATCCTGATGAGGTAATGCGTTTGAGGAAAGCCCTGCTCTGATTGGCCGATGGAACGAGCTGTCGGAGAGCCGTCTCTTTCCAATAACATGCAATCCGTTTGCAGCTGGCAGTTGGCTACAAGAGGCTCATTGTGTTGCCTCTGAGCAAAGGTCGGTCAGCTGGGAGCAGAGGTGGCTGGCCGGGTAACCAGCCCGCTCAGGACCCATGTGACCGCGAGCGGCTGAGTCTGTAAATGAGTGAGCCGAGTTGACATCAGGGCAGCTGCCCGGACGCGGCACAAGGACGCCGTGCCAGATGTCAACAAGCCGTTACCTTGATTCTATTTTTACCAGCGCAGGATGTGACACAGATACACCCCGTCAGACGTCTGACTGCACAGCCCCGAGGGAAGAAGAGAGGGCTGAGGGCTTTTTCTTTTCTGTTGCTCTCAGTGGAATTACAGAGACACAACTCACACCAATATGGTCACCGGTTAAAGAGACCAGGTCAAAAACTCCATCTGATCTACAGTAGATCCAGCAGAGAGCTGAACAGGAGCTGAGAGCTGCATCTGGACCTCCAGCTGATCATCTCCTGATGGCCTCGTTAGAAATGTTCTCCATGAGGGGCAATAACAAGGCTTAAGATTACCACGTGTAAAGCAAGAAATGCAAAATCAGGGCTAAAAATGACCAAAAATACAGCAAAAAATGCAAAAACAGGTCTAAAAATGACCAAATGTACAACAAAAAATGCAAAAACAGGGCTGAAAATGACCAGAAGTACAACAAAAAAAAGGAAAAACAAAGCTAGAAATTACCAAAAATACCACAGAGAAGAGCTAAAAAGACCAGAACAAAGCCAAAAGAAGGTAAAATGACCAAAATAGAGCCAAAACAGCTAAATGTATTCCTGACTGGTAACAGCAGCTAAACTTCCCAGAGTTCCCACCGTGGGTCAGAACCATCAACTAGGGAGGAAAGGCGTCGTGAGCTCTGCCAGAAGAACCAGAAGTGGACTGAACCCCAGCAGCTCTGATGGAGGGATGGATCCTCCAGAGCTGGAGCTCCATGTTATGAAGCAGAGTCTGACAGAGAACGGAGCCAAAGGCAGCAGCAGCTTCCAGAGAAGAGCTTTGGGACGTCCTTCAAGAAGCTGGAGAGCTTTTCCTGGAGGCTCCTCACAGAGACGAGCTTTGGAGAATGAGTTACTTATAGAATTCATTAGCAACTAATCATTTCAGTCCTTGAACTCCAGTTTGTGATGATGTAAGACGTGTCGACTTACTGACACTTCTTCGTCAATCGGATGAGATGATCTATGGCAGGGGTCGGGAACCTTTTTGACTAAGAGAGCCATGAAAGCAAAAAATTTGGAAATTTATTTCAGTGAGAGCCATATAATATATTTTAGAAGTGCCGCTTTACATTCGACCGTTTCATCGATGCAATTTTGTCATTGCAAATTAGACACACCGCAGAATTTGCTCTCTCCACAAAGGCGAATTCTTCAGTCCATTCATGCTGAAATGTACGATATTTGTCATCTTTTTTTCTTTTCGCCATCTTCTTCGTCGAAGGGTTAACTTTGAGCTAATGACCGAGCGGACTGATTCAAAAGGGGGCGTTTACCTGTTTTACGCTGCAACGGCCAACGTAGTCCAGTATCATCCAATTAAAATAATGGACAATTGCTCCTGCACAAAGCGCTCTGCTCCTGCAGCCCTGAACAGGACATGAGCAGTGAAAAATCGATGGATGGATATTTGTAGCTTGTATTTGTATACAAGTGACAATATTTTGTTTTATCTGCGAGCCCGATGCAATCATCAAAAGAGCCACACCTTGCTCGCGAGCCATAGGTTCCCGACCCCTGATCTATGGCCTGATTTCTGCCGTGACGTGTTGTGGTCTCTGTCCCTTTTTGCAGACTGACTCAGTGGGAGTGCTGAGATGAGCAGCCAGCACCATGCAGAGAGCTCTCCCCCCACAGAAAAGCTGCTGCCCGCCGCGGCCCCCAAGCTCCACGTCCAGCGATCGCTGTCCAAGGAGTCCATCACCATCCACTTCTCGGCTCTCGGGAAGGAGGAAGAGGAGGAGGAAGAGGAGCTGTACATAACGTCCGCTCCTCCCCAACCCCCCTCGGCTTCGGCCGTGGGCCCCTCCAAAGTCCCCACGGCCCTGGAGGCGAGCGAGGAAATGTTCGAAGGGTCCGAATCGACCAGAGGTTCCCCAGATTCCCCGGTTCACGCTAACCGTCTCCCCTCCAAAACTCTCCCCCCGCGAGTCCCCGAGCAAAAGCCGTCGAGCTCCACCTCCCCCCCCAGCAAGTCCCTGAGCTTCCCCTCCACCGACAAGCCGTTTCTCAGCCTCATGAAGTCGCTCTCCTCCGACGTGGAGTCCTCCCTCCCGGCTTCCTCGTTGAGGCACAGGCACCTCATGAAGAGTCTCGTCAAGTCTTTGTCCTCGGATACCTCCCAGGACTCCTCATCCTCCTCCTCGTCCTCATCTTCGTCCTCCTCCTCGTCCTCCTCCTTCCGTCTCCCAGAGTCTCGCCTCAACCTGCAGCTCTTCAAGCAGCTGGCTCAGTCCCGGCTGCCTTCGTCCGACTCCAAAACGGCGCCCTGCTCGCCGCTGACCTCCCCGGAGAGCCGGAGCTTCTTCAAAGTCTCCGAGGTGGAGGCCCGGATCGAGGACACCCGCCGGCGGCTTTCCGAGGCCATTTCCGAGCCGCTCCAGCTACTGAGCAAGATCATGGACGAGAAAAGCGGCGGCGGGGGGGGCGGGGTTTACCGGCCGAAGGCGCTCTCCACCGAGCTCGCCAGCCTGGCGTCCCACAACGGGCTCCCGGAGAGCAACAACAACAACAACTACTGCATCAAGGAGGAGGAGGAGGGCGGGGAACCGGAGGCCGAGAGCCCCGGCAGCTGGACCTCCATCGGGGCCGAGTCCCCCGGGGACCCCCCCCCCTCTTTAGCCACCGCCTCCCTGGACAGGTGCTCCATGTCGGCGCTCGCCAGGCTGGACGACGAGGACTTCTGCATCCTGGACGGGGAGGAGGTCGGGGACCAGGCCGAGGGGAAGGCCGCCGCCGACGCCACGGCAACCGCTGGGAAAGCGTCCCCGGGGAGCGGCGTGGGCTCGGACCCGTACGAGGAATACGAAGAGGCCGAACCGGCGCCGAGCGTGCCGCTCTACAGGCTGGCGGCGCTCACGGGGCTGCTCTACGGCGTATTCGTGCTGCCCCTGCCCGGACCCCTGGGCGCCGTGCTGCTGGGGGCCGGACTCGGCTTCCTGCTCGCCATCGGCGCCGTGTGGCTGACCGGCCCCAAGCGCCCCGGAGTCCGGTCCAGGAACCAGGCAACGCTGCAGAGGCGGGTGCACATCCAGGAGCCCGACATCTACAAGGTGGGTGGTCCTGGGTAGGGATGTCCAGATCCGGCTGTTTGCACTTCCGATCCGATACCGGCCTATCAGAGCATGTGTTAAAGTCTAAAGTTATTTATCTACTTACTTAGTTGTCAGACTCATGTTGAACAGGGATTTACTCTGATAACAACTTAATGGTTAGGACACAGACCTGTGGGTTACAGATGCTAATGCTAATGCTCATGTGGGATCCTACTGGATCTGGAGTCTGGATCTGCATTTTTTCCTGTCGACCGATAGGAATTTTTTTGCATATATTGATGGCCGATCCGATCCAGATATCGGATCAGGACAAGCCTAGTCGTGGGGTTGGGGGGTTCCTGGAATTCTGAAAGCTTCACTATCTTAGATTGGTTGTAGGTTGTCGCATTATATGGTTTTTCAGATACAGCCATAACTCACAATTACAAAATTTCTTAACATGGTTTGCAACTGATTGGGGTTTTAATGGCTTAAAGGGAACCTTCTGCTGGCAGAAACCCTTTAGACCGGAGAGTTTTAAAGCTTAACCGGGTCTGAGATGGTCCTGAAACCAGCACAGAACCAGAACCTGTGATTCAGAGCTGAAGCACAGCAGAGAGGGACGGGGGCAAAACTCAGAAAAAACATATCCAATGCTACATTCAAAGTATCACACAATATTCTTCACAATCGTTTGGGATTATATGAAAAATTAACATAGAAAAAATTAAAAAACAATTATGAAATCCTTCCTCCTTCCTAATATTGTTCATAAACAGGAACATTTATTCACGTTAACACTGTGATAACACTAAAAAGGTTAATTTGGGCTGGATGGGAGTGTTGGTTTGGGTTTTTTGGGGGATCGGAGCTCCAGTCTTCTGGTCTGAGTCTCCTCTTTGTGAACGTTCAGGGCTGGATGAACGAGTTATCGAGCTACGACCCGGAGACCTACCACGCCACGCTGACCCAGTCGGTGTTCGTCCGGCTGGAGGGCTCCACCATCCGCCTCTCCAGACCCAACCGCAACATCGCCCGCCGCGCCGCACACAACGAGCCCAAAGCAGACGTCTCCTACATCAGCCAGAAGATCTACGACCTCACCGGCAGCAGCGTGGGTTTGATCAGATCAATGGAGGGAGGGATGGAGGGATGGAGGGATGAATACATCAATAGACGGATCGATAGATGGATGGATGAATAGATTAATGGATGGATGAATAAATTAATGGATGGATGGATGATGGTTGGGTGGATGGATGGATTAATGGATCGATGGATGGATTAATAGATTAATGGATCAATGGATGGATGGATTAATAGATCAATAGACGGATCGATGGATGAATAAATTAATGGATGGATGGATTGATGGATCAATGGATGGATGAATAGATCGATGGATGAATAGATTATTGGATGGATGGATCAATGGATGGATGAATAGATCGATGGATGGATGGATGAATAGATTAATGGATGAATATATCAATGGATGGATGGATGAATAGATCGATAGACGGATCGATGGATGGATGTATAGCTGGACTGATGGATAGATGGATAGATGGAACTTTATTATCTGTCCCAAATAGTTCAGAGAATTCCCATTTAAAACCATTTCAAAACTAATTGAAAGCTTTGAATGTTCGAAACACAGACGATGGTTTCGGCTGTTATTTCTCAGTGTGGCTGTGGCAGCTGATTAAAAGATAAAGGTCAGGTGGCTTTTTATGGCCTGTGCAGGTTTTATGGTGGATGGACCATGAGTGACCCGCACACCAGTTAAAATGAAAGCCCCTATTTTCTTTATTGGAAGTTGTTGTTTAACTTTAATTTGGCTGATTCAGTTTTGAATGCCAGCAGCTTGTTTTTCTGCTCTGGATTCTCCCTCCTGTTGGGGAAAGTGGATGAAAACGCCTTCATTCTCTGTTGAATCCGTCTGCAGGTGTATCTGGTGCCTCACAGTCTGGCCAGGAAGCGGATATGGAACAAAAAATACCCCATCTGCATCGACCTGGGGAGGCAGGATCACTTCATGTCCAGGGCGGAGGGGGAGAGTCCGGAGTCCGGGGAGGACCCGGGGGAGGGCAGCAGGGCGGGTCAGGACCCCAGGGCCCCGTCCTCCTCCGGGAGAGATCTCACCCTCTACCTGTTCGGGAGGACGGGGAGAGAGAAGGAGGAGTGGTTCCAGAGGTTTCTGTCGGCCGCCAACGCCAGAGTGGAGATGAAGAAATCTCCTTCTGTCGGCGGTGGCAAGAAAGGTGGGTAATGAGTAAAAGTATCTATACTAAAACGTTGTATCCGGATATGATACTCATTTTCTAAAGCATCTATACCACCCCCCCTTCTCTCTGATTTATTTATTTATTTACGTTGTATATGATCATTAACGTGACGTTAGCCTTGAATTGCTAGCTGCGGTTAATGGCTAATAATAACACGCCAACATTAATAAAGTTTACAGGAAGCCAAGGATGGGTATCCAACTCCCCCACATCCAAGTCGGCCATTTTGATTAGGTCACAAATAGGAAGATCCCAGGCAAAAAAATCCTAATTGCTTCATGGCAATATAGACATTAATTTAAAAATAGTGTAATTAATTTTGCAAACACTGAATTAAAAAATAGTGTATGTTAAATAGGTTTTAAAGTCCAAAAAAGTTTAACCAAAAAATATTTATTTCTCACAATTAGGAAGGGTTAGGGTTAGGGTCATTAATGTGGGCCACCGGCCTCGATAACATCACTAACAGGTTAGTTTGAAACCAAAGACACTAACCTGTCAAAATTCAGTTAAATTTTGGGGTCTTTGTTTTTATCCTTATGGTATCGAAGGGTGCCCCCCCCCCACCCTGAGCCATGGTTCTGCTCCAGGTTTCTGCCTGTTAAAAGGAAGTTTTTCCTTCCCTGTGTCACCTAGTGCTTGCTCATGGTGGGAGTTGTTGTTCTTCTGTAGTTAACTTCAGAGTCCAGTCTGAGCTGCTCTGTTTAGAAAGCTGGGAGATAACTGTTGTTGTGATGTGGCGCTATATAAACAAATTTGAATTGAATTTAATTGAATCCGCCGTGTGTGTGTGTGTGTTTGTGTGTGTGTCCACAGCCCTGAGCTCCAGCAGTAGCCGCAGCAGTCTGGATGAGGTGCTGGCACCTCTGCCCAGATCCCGGGACTCTGCGGCCTCCCTGACGGCGGCGGGCGGTGCCAGAGCGAAGCCCCTGCTGGACTACAGCCTCTACATGGGCTCCCTGTTGCCCAGGCAACCGGGGGCCGGCCCCCCCGCCGGCAGCCCGGCTTCCCCGAGCCTGCAGAGCAGCCCGGGGTCCGATAAGAAGGTAGCGGATGCTGAACGGTTTTCCTCCCTAAAGAGCAATAGGACGCTCGCTTTGCTTTGCCCGTAAAATAAGAGTTGCTCCGCAGATTAGGGATGTCCCGATCCAGCTTTTTGCTCTCCCGATCCGATCCCTGCCTATCAGAGCATGTGTTAAAGTTTAAAGTTGTTAAAGCCGTAGACTGAGATGTTTCCGCTCGTAGCTCAAACTGCACCAAATCGTAGGGATCAAAGGTCACAGCTCACGATTTCTGTTCTCACCCTACGACCCGATATGAGATCTGAACTCGCATCGTACGGCCAAAAACGC